TAAACGCAGACGACTTAAAGGTTGGATTTATCTGTAAGTTTCACTATCATGTAAAGGTGCTGCTGTTGAAGAGGCTTTTTTTTTTTTTACACATTTTTAGAAGGGTCGTCAACAAAATTTGCCCAAATCTGTAACTGCAATTTCAAAGCAATAAAACCCAGAGAGCCCCGACATTCTCAAAGATGCGAGCGCGAACCCTGCGTTTTGCCTTTCAGCTTCCGTTTACTTGCTGAAGCTGAGAAAACACCACAAAAAGACAGTAGGGTAGGCAGAGCAAACCACACACCAGCCTACACAGACACAGAGGCGCGAGCACACATCCAGCCGCTCTGAATGCGAGACACTCCGAGGCGCAGAGGCAAGCAACGGAAGGAAGGGACTGTCGAAAGGAAGGAATGCAGGACAGGAACGAGAGAAAGAGAGAGGGAGCTCATCCTGGGATGCAGAACGCCAAATACAGTGAGATAAGAGTTAATGTATCCCACACACACACACCCCTTCTTCAGCCCTCCTCTTTGGCTCTCTCTTTCTTTCTTCCTCCCTCCATCCATTCCTCGCCCCCCCCCCACCCTCTTCCTCCGCCTCCCACCCTTCCCCGTTCTCTTTGAGGGATGAATAATAACTGCTGCTCTGAGATTTCCTCCCTCGTTTTTCAAAGCGCAGAACGGGGATGTGGAAGGTCTGCCTGGCCCGGATTGTTCGTGCATGCGAACCCACGAGCGTGTGGCGCGCGTCGAAGCACACACAGATGAACGCACACTTTGTCTTGTACTCGCTGCTCGCCTGGAGCAGGGAAATCAGATCTCCTCTAGAGAAAGGCAGAAAGGAGGGGGGGGGGGAGGCTAGGCTTTGACACTGTAGGCAGCCCATACCAAAAAAAAAAAAAAAAATCCCCTGCAAACACGTATAGGTCTACAGACACCACGAAACCCACAGGCAGCATCGAGGGAAACCAAGAATAACTAGGAGGATGCAAGCTACCTCCTGGGGTGACAGGGTGAACTCAAGGTTAGAGACGCATCACCGGTTCAAGCTCTGCCGCCAGGGCCAATTTATCCACGCTGAAGCACCCTCCTTTGGGCACGTAACTCTGATTGCTCAAAGGCATTGAGCTCAGACGGAAAAAAAACAACAACAAAAAAACAACAACATCAGAGAAAGACTAGAAGACAAGCCCTCAGAAAAAAGGAGGAAAAGCAGGCGGCGGATGGGGAGCCAGGGCTTTATTCCTGCTCGTTCACAAGAGAGTGGTTGTTTAGGCGAGGTCCAGGTCAGTTACTAGTATGAAGCTTTAAACGAGGTTCTAAAAAGGTACGCTTTTAAAATGTTGCACTGCCAATCAGCTGGCTGAAAGAGATGAAACATCAAAGTCAAATATGACTGTGTTTTTTGTTTTTTTTCAGACCTTTTGCTTAACTGAATTCTTTTGTGTTTTTTTTTTTTTTTTTTTTTTTTTTTACATCACGAATTTTAAGTGTGCAGAAGAATGATGCAAAATTTCCCTCAAGTGAGCAGGCTGGCTTCTGCACCTGCCTACACACAGAAAGTCTGATGTTTGCTTCTTCCTTTGCTTTCGATTTAGACTTGACAAAGTGTCTTCAGTCTCACATTAAGAATCCAATCTGAATGTTTGTGACCCAATGATCAAAACTAATCGATTTAACTGAGATATTTGCATCCCAAGTTTTTCTTTATTTTTTATTTTTTAACCAGTAAGATATCTAGTTTAGAAGAGTAGAGAGAATGCAACTTCAGGGTTCCAATGTTTTTGTTTTTTTTAATCAGACCAGACCTATGAGTAGCTGAACAGCAGATTTTGTCTTTTATTTAAATTGAGGATAAATGATATTAAGAAAACCTGTATTGCAACAGCAACACCACTTCCTGTTAGCATTTCAATTTAGTCTTTTTCTTACTATGTATTTATTATTATCATTATTATCTGTTTCATCTGTCCCTGCTTTATAGCACTATTTCTTTAGATGTGCTTTCTAAGTAAAATAGAATGAATTAATCTGAAACTCCACCTTTGAATGGCAAAATGCTCTTGGATTGACCTAGTTAAAGTTGGGACTCTGTGACATAACCTTAAAAATTAGAAGTTAAAAGTTCAAGTAACTCTTCAAAGAAGAAAGGGTCAAAATTCCTCTGCAGTGATTATAACAACGTCGCCAAATATTGCTAATGCTTAATTCAAGTGGCTGAGATTTAAGGGGTAGTTACATTTTCACTCAAGACCAGGTTGGTTTGTGTATCTTATTTCACTTGATTAGATTAAAAACTGCATTTAGTTTTTACTCAGGTTGTCTCCGTTTCATACTGAAATTAGTTCGACGATCCGAAACATGTTTAGAGCGACAAAAAAAAAAAAAGTAAAAACAGACAAACTCTGTAAAGGGGTAAAAACTCGTTCCCAGAACTGCAGCTCCATGTTCTACATTTTGTTTGAACTCTTTGAGTAAATTCCGTGAAAGCGTGCTACTTTTCTTAAAGTTTATCCCACAGAGAACCTCAACTGGGCCTCGGCACGCCACAGACGGAGCGAAAAGTCCTCGCAGAAGACTAGGAGCTGCACACGGAGCCGCCACGCCGCTCTGAAATCAGCAGCCAGGTTCCGAGGAGAGGGCTTATTTATGCAAACAAGCGTACAAGCACGCACAGTAGGAATCTAGACAAGCCTTGTAAACAAACACACACCCACACCGTAAAGCACACAGGGGAGGCGATGTGAGAAGCAGACTGTGAAAACTCTAGTCGTGCCCGGGCAGTGCTACCACACACACACACACACACACACACACACACACACACACACACACACACACACACACACACACACACACACACACGGATCGAGAGAGAGAAAGAAGCCGAGCCAGAGCCGGGCTGGAGAGCAAGAGAGAGCAGGAGAAAGACGCCGAAGGAGAAAGGGGAGGATAAGAAGGAGGCAGAAGTGAGAAGATGTGGGTGTCTGGTGCTACTTTTGCGTTGCCAAATGAGGGCAAGTGAGTGCGAGAGAGGAGAAAGAGAGAGAGAGGGGGAGAGAGAGATGTGGATGGTAAAATGATGTATAATGGCTCGTCCATGCATGTGCGTGTGTGAGGGGAAAAAAAAAAAAAAAAGCAGGAGCGCTTTCCCATTTCAATTCGCAACAGCTGGTGTCGAATTAACACATTTACCAGTGAGCATTTGGAACAGATTAAAATTGCGTGTGGCGTCTGACTGTGTATGTGTGTGTTTGCGAGTGTGGCAGCAGATGAGGGCCAAAACAAGAGCGTGTGTGTGTGTGTGTGTGTGTGTGTGGGAGTGCCTGCCGATGGATCAGGGCAGGCAGAAATGGCATTGAGACAGGGGGCGCAGAGCAGAGCGAGAAAGAGAGAGCTCTGCTCTACCCGCCGGCTTTAGCTGCTGCTGCCCTGGGCCGTCTCTCTAAGCCCTGTTTAGGAGGCTTTGGAGCTCAGATAGAAATAATCCCTCACTCAGGCGCACACACACACACACGCACGCTCGCGCGAGCGAGCGTGGAGGAGAGCTCGCAGGCAGACACAAGCAGCGGGGAAAATAAGCGGCGCACACACACTCTCTCGAGTCGAAGCGGACAAACACGCCGTGCGCTCCGCAGCAACAAGCAGCGACAGCACATTCGCCTCGACACAGAAAACCAGCCACCCACTTTACGCGCACGCGCAGCACAACACACGCGGAGCCGAGGCGGCGCGGAAGCGAGAGCACAGCGACATCGGCACGGCACCGTGACAAACACTTTACACACTCCGGCACTCAGCCGAGGGGAGGGAAGGAAAGGGAGGGAGAGACGGTGGAAAAGAGGCGAGGAGGTGGAAGAGGATATGAGCAGGGGAGACGGCGGGGGGGGGTTGGGGGGAGAGAGAGAGAGAGAAGAGGGCCAGGGAGGAGGAGGGGAGGGGGGCTAACAAATTAATAGGAGCCGGAGATATATACAGCCAGCGCTGCTGCTGCCACCGCTGCTGCTGCTGAACCAAGGGAGGAGGAGGAGGAGGAGGATGACGACGACGAGAGAGCAATTCATTCCTGTTTTCCCCTCGTTCATTCTCTGGAGGAAGGCAGAGCGGAGCCGAGTGAGAGCGTATTTGCTCAGGAGAGGGAGAGAGGGGCTTTGTGTGGAAAAGTGCAGGAGGAGAAGGAAGGAGGTGGCGGCGGCTGTGGTGGTGGTGGTGGTGACATAAAAACATAGAGGCAGAAAGATGGAAAGCCCGAGCGAGGAGGAGTAAAAATATGGGGGCTATAACAGACTTTTAGAGCGTAAAAGAGGGAGAGAGGAAGGAGAGCAGGGAGGTTAACACAGGATGCCGTTTGTCATCTTCATCAGCCAACAGCCAGGGAGGAGGAGGAGGAACGAGTGGAATAGATGGAGAGGTGAACGGAGAGAGAGGAAGGGTAAAGGGGGCGAAAGAGGGAGGGTGCGCGTAGGTAGGGGGAGGGGGGGGGCAGTGTTTGAGCCGGAGCCTTTGAAAGACGTTGACCCTGTAATTGACCTGTGTCTCCGCCTACATGGCGGTGGCGACAAGCAGAGCCGCTACAGCTAATCACTTAGTAACCCTGACCTGTCAATCACACCGGCTTGGTGAGGGAAGGTGGGGAGGGAGAGCTGGAGGACGGGAAGGGAAGCGGGTGAAAGAGTGATAACGGAAGGATGGGGAAGAGGGGGGGTTATCATTTACCGGACCTCCTCCCGCTGAACCCCAGCTGATGAAACTCCCGTTTTATAAAAAAGGCAATAAAATGCTTTAATCCTCTATCACACACACACACACACACACACACACACACACACACACACACACACACACACACGACAACTTCCTTTATAGTGCTGTACGGCAAAGTCTTTGTGAGAGTTCAGATAAGGGAGAACAAAGGATGAGATATGCTAAGGCGGTGGAGGAGGAGATAGGATGAGGGGAACAAAGCGAATCAAACAACAGGGTTTATATGGCGGCCAGGTGAGGCCGAGCGGCTACCTGTTAACCAGCGGGAAGGTGGACACCAGCAGGTAAACGGACGGATACCACTTGAGCGGCTTGATCTCCTCGGCCAAGGAAACCTGGGGGAGAAGTGAAACCGTGGTTAACTTCAACTGAGTAGAGAAACACTGCAACGCTTTTTGCAAAAGAGTTCCCAACCTCTACACCTTGATTTTTCTCTCTTTTTTTCACAAATAAAAATCTGAAAAGGCTGGCATGCATTTGATTTAAAATCCCCTTTCCTCTAACATCCCTAAGTGAAATCCAGTGCAACAAATTGGGTTCATAAATCATCTGTATGGAGGACAAAGCCTGCTACTGCGTAACTTGGTCTCGATCTAAATCCACTGTGTGACGTTCGTCAAAGGTTTGTTAGAGAACAAACGGCATCATGAAGACCAAGAAGCACAGCAGACAGGTCAGGAAAACGGTTGTGGAAAGGTTTAAAGTACTAAAAAAAACACTAGTAAATAAAAGAAATTTTGTGTAGAGTTTACCCCAAGCAGGGAACACAACATACATGTGGAATGACATAAGACCAAAGTTAAAACTACTAGGCTACCTGAGAGCATCAGGCTCTGGGGGTCATTTTCTTGAACAGGAAACGTGGAAGCAGGAACGAGCACAATACTCAGTTCATGGAGACGTAGATGTAATTTAATTCAGGGCAATACTCAAAGAATATATGATGGAGGCCGGGAAGACTGGACAAATGTTTGAAAGGTCACCTTGTAGCAGGAAGTTCGATGGAAAGGTTTAAATCGAAGCTTATTAGAAATGGTCCAGTCAAAGTAGAAAACTACTTGAAAATACTATTCACAGAACACCCACATCCAAACCGACCTGGCTTGACCGATTTTGTAAAACAAATGTTTTGTGGATGTAGAGCTATACAGACCTGCAGCCAAAAGCGGTTCTACAAAAGCATTAACACACACCAAGGCCACACACTCTTTAGATCACCTTTTTTTTTTAATTCTTTAAAAATCATCTATCTTTTTTTTTTCCTTCCAGATCGTAATTATGTACACCGAGGTTTGTGGTTGCGATGTGAAACCCCCCCAAAAAACCCCCCCCAAAAAAAACAATACCTTCGTGAGGAGGCTGATAATCACACAAGTACCCGTAGTTAGCGCCTTAACGGGCAAATCACAGCACAGAGGCAGGCAACAAAGGCCAATTAGAAACTAATAAAATATTAAGCTGCAGATAATACACAATATCCACACAAGTTATGAGAAAGAAACGAGGATTCCAATTAAACCAGAGGCTAATACTTTGCAGTTGTGCGAAGGAGGGGAGGCGAAGGCAATATTGCGGACGAAACAGGCAGGAAGACAGAAAGATGCAGCAGCAGCTAAAAGTCGAGGAGGGTGGAAAGAGCTCGGTGCTGGAGAGCTTTTACAAGCCGTTATCTAATTCCCGGGAGAGGAGGACTCTCGCATCCGGAAGAGGCTGAAAAGAGCGGCCCCTGGATCGATTTTCTGCGCTGTGCTGTTTTTTTTTTTTTTTTTTTTTTTTCCTCCCTTCTCCCCCCTCCTCCTCCTCCAGGCTAGGACGCAGCATCCGAGGCAGCGCAAAGTCTCCCTCCCTTTTATTTTTCTCTGTAACACACAGAGAGACAGAGACGCGCGCGCGTGCTCGCGCGCGCACACACACACACACACACACACACACACACACACACCCCGACGCTCGGAGCCAGGAGGCAGGCCCACGAGCTCCGGTCTCTACCCCCACATGCTGGAAATTAATTACTCACCAGAAAGACCCTGAGGCGTGCAAGCTTTAACGCAGGCATTTTTAAACAATTCAAATGAAAATCTGGTGGTATTTTATGTTATGTACGTGTGTGTGCGTGCGCGCAAACGTCGGCTGCTTACGATCAACGGAGAGGAAGTCGGTCGTATTTCTGCATCACTGTCTGTAACAGCACGACCCGAAGGCAGACGCTAGTTTTAGCCCTATTAGTGTCTGTTATTATGGGACTCTCTGGCATCAGTGGTCATGGTAAGATCTGCCTATTGTCGTCCTAACTTCATGTGTCATTGCATGACTCACACCGCGGGATAAAAGGAAGGACGTAAAGAAAAAAGAAAAAAAAAACCCTGGAAAAACAAAACGCTCTAAAGACCGGATCAAGCCAGGTAATCTCCAACAAGGAAGAATTTCAGCGAGCAACAGAACAGGATGTAGACTGGGAGGAGGAGGAGGAAGAGTGCGGGTGAAGTGCCTCGTGTTTTTAATCACAGTCCTCCGGTGTCAGAGGCCCCTTGCACAGCTCGGGAGGCAGAGGGGGAATGAAACCGTAATTATGCGGCGCGGGCGCAGCGCTCCCAACGTTAATGACACTCACTAGATTACAGACAGTTATCGCGAGCCGCCCCTCCCCTCCCCACCGCCGCCACCCACAGCACTCACCCCATCGCCTTGGCTGACGCTCGCCTCACAACAAGCTGCCTCTAAAAATAACCGCGTCGGGTTTACTGAAGGTACAATCCGATTCGGCTTTTCACTGGGAAACTCTTAAAATATTCAGACTTTTTTTTTTTTTTAATAGGGCAACGTTGCTTCGACTACTCATGAATAACCACTAAAGGGATTAGTCGTATTTATGTGACGTGGGTGCCACGCATTCTTGAAAACTCCTGCCTGCAACTTTTACATTTTAGGTAACATTGATCTGAACCCATTTAACACCAACTTCCGCAATTCTACAAAAAGAAGGATGTTATTGAAAAAAAATACAATTTTATTATATATAATAAAATTGTATTTTTTTTTCATAGAAAAAAAATATGACAATATGGAAAAACATGGAAAAAAGAAATATTTTTCCTTTTCCTTGATGACAGCTAAAGTCATCAAGATGCTAACCGGGCAGTGGTAAAACTGGGAGAAGACACATGAGAAGTCATTGTAGGCATAAATATACAAACCGGATTCCAAAATAGTTGGGACATTAAACAAATTGTGAATAAAAACTGAATGCAATGATGTGGAGATGGCAAATGTCAACATTTTATT